CCCCTTGAATGAGCAGAACCGGTTGGCTAATGTTGCTGTCGATGCTGTTCTAGACAGCGTATCGATCGCAACTACACATAGGAAGACACTGGAGAAGGCCGGCGTTATCTTTGTTCAATATCTGAGGCTATTAGGGAGTATCCAGATTTGGTGAGGAAGTATTTAGGAAGAGTTGTTCCTAGCGAAGATAATTACTATGCAGCTCTGAATTCAGCAGTGTTTAGTGATGGGTCATTTTGTTATATACCCAAAGACACCAAGTGTCCTATGCAGATTTCAACGTATTTCCGAATCAATGCGTTGGAAACGGGGCAGTTTGAGAGGACTTTGATAGTTGCGGATGATAGAGAGTTTTTGTGGAGTATTTGGAGGGTTGTACCGCGCCTTCTTACGATAGGAACCAGCTTCATGCTGCTGTGTAGAGTTGTATTGTGCTGAAGATGCAGAAATTAAATACTCCACTGTGCAAAATTGGTATGCTGGGGATGAGGAAGGGAAGGGGGGAATATACAATTTCGTCACAAAACGAGGCCTTTGTGCTGGGGCTCGCTCTAAGATATCCTGGACACAAGTCGAAACAGGATCGGCAATTACTTGGAAATATCCTAGTGTTGTTTTGGAGGGAGATGACACTGTCGGTGAATTTTATTCGGTTGCTTTGACAAATAATCATCAACAAGCAGATACAGGGACGAAGATGATACACAAAGGGAAGAATACAAAGAGTAGGATTATTTCTAAGGGTATATCAGTTGGCAATTCAAGGAACTGTTACAGAGGGCTTGTTCAGGTTCAATCAAAAGCAGAGAATGCTCGAAATTCCTCCCAATGTGACTCAATGCTCATCGGTGATCAGGCAGCGGCCAATACCTATCCTTACATACAGGTAACGCTTGTTTTTTTGGGTCTCTAATCAATGCCTTATTTCTGCACATGCTTGCATATGTAACCATCAGTGTAATACTTGTGGTTCAAACTGTTTAAACGGTGTCGGTTATTCGCATAGAGATCAAAAGAAGGAAGCAACAAGTGGACGTTGATTCCCTCAATTAAAACTGTGTCAAGTTAGAAATTTGCTAAATGAATTGGATAAAATAGTACTTCAGTAAGTCGGAATCAGATGTGAGCTAATATAAAGAAAAAAAAAAATGATGGCAAACAATTGCAATGGAATTAGACTAGGTTGAGTCGGCTAGAAAAAGAAAAAGAAAAAGAAAAAAAAAGGAAGAATTAGACTGGGGTGAAAGTCATCTGACAAGACCCTAAATTAATTAAATTCAAAAGAGTCCGTATGGTTATTCCTTTCATAACTATTCTGCTTCATGGAAAAAATATTGGTATCTTGGACGTTATTTTACAGCATAAAATCATGCTACTTTTAATACAACTGATCAGGTAGTTACTTTCAGGGCGATCTTGTTTGAAGAAGACTAAAATTATTAGCATCCTTTAGTAATCCAACACTAGTGTGCATCTAGATTCTTATCTGCATGTTTTCCAATCACCTTGGATTAAAGGAATTTTCTGTGGTCAAAATGTCGGAGGTTTTGTTCTGTTTCAGAGAAGCTAAAGCTTTTCCGAATGAAATATTTGCATAGGAATGTTGTCGTCAGGTATATTAAGGGTCTTCTCTTTTTGACCAAGAGTTTTCCCATAAGAGGGCAATGAGTAATATGTCTCTGGCATGTGTCGAGTTATAATCACCATGTTGATTTCCTCTCCTGATTGATCCCTCCCTCCCCCACTCTCTCTCGCCATGTCAAACAGGCACCATGCATTATGTTCTAATTCTGCTTTACTTTTGCAGGTTAAAAACCCCACCGCTAGGATTGAACATGAAGCTAGTACCTCCAAAATCGGTGAAGATCAATTATTTTACTTTCAACAGAGAGGAATAGACTACGAGAAAGCCATGGCTGCTATGATATCTGGGTTTTGCCGTGACGTATTTAATGAGCTTCCTGATGAATTTGGTTCTGAGGTGAACCAGCTAATGAGCTTGAAACTTGAGGGGTCAGTAGGTTAAACAACTTGAGAGGGTCAAAACCGCAAGTTCCCGAAAGGAAACTTGTTCGGGCCAGCGTTCGAATTTTGATTGTAGTAATTATATTGCAGACGAAAAAGTAGTGTACAAGGAGGGAATTATAGACTATGTGAATAGATGGTCTCAGATTGTGTGGCATGGGAATCATGGCTGAGTTTTGAAGTCTCAATAATATATGTTCATCGCGAAAACAATTTTCAGTCTTGTGTTGTGTGGCATGGCCTATCATTAAATACCGTTACTTATGTAGATTCATTTATATTTTAGGCTAATTTGGTATATCATTGTTTATGTAGATCTTTAGCATCTTACCATTGTTTTGGCAAGTGAGCTCCGCTTTGGGGCGGGGGGCGGGGGGGGGGGGGAGCTCAAATTTATATATCTATATATGATGCAAAATTCATGAATTGTGTAACACACTTTTTTCAAACTTTTAAGTAAATATGCTAATCAATGCTAGTTTATATGAAAATGAAACACGAGGGTATTAGAAAGATGGACCTCGTCTATTAGAAAGATTAAGACCAATTTAATGAGAAATTTTTAATATAAAAAGTAAATCATTCACCCGACACATTATCACCCCAAGAAGAAAGATTGTTTCTCTACGAATGTACGCCGGCTCGAAAAGCTTCTTATGTGCCATAGGAGAGGGGCGCTCTGTGCAAGATATTGGAACGAATTACTATTACAGACCAGATTTTCAGTATTTGACAGGTAGCGAAAACCAATCACTGACTTATGAAATATTCGTTTCAATTGCTGCATTGAAAAAAACACTGAACATTTGACCCCACTAACTAATAACTAATGAGCAAAGAATATGGGATGTTGCCGGGGCACACATTGTCAATATGACTTGTCCCCATTTTACCCTTGCGATGCATTAAGATCCGGGTGTAATATTGATCATTTACACTGAGCATAGATCTTATTTACAAATGCTCCAAATTCATCGTATGCACAATAACCGATTGCCAACGACAGGAACCGCCATGAGAAGAGCACTCATCGACTGACGGAGATACTATTCCTGTGATAGCAGTCCCAAATTGCAAGGAACGATGAATCAGTAAACATAACATCAAAAACTGAGAAATGACTCAACACTGGATTAATTTTCAAGACTTGCTGCACAGGTTTGAGCATTTCTTTTCCCAACAATCTATTTCTGCGTGTGCTCTGTTTATTGCACTACAAACATAGAATCTCTGTTCCAATACTCACAATTTCGAATGCAAGTATTCCGCCACAGTGAGAGGTTTCGGACCACCAAACCAATCGATTAGAAATATACTTTCGATTTCTAAATTGTAGGCTTCAAAGTCGTGATCCTTGGGCCAGCCTGTTAAACATTAAAGGAATCGATCAGAAGCAATCAATGTTGTGAAAGTAAGAAGGTGGTAATCACAAGTTCACAACTAGTCATATGAACACTGAATGAAGATATGCTTTGGATCCACTGATTGTGTTAGGATTTACCCTTCATCTCTGAGTGCTTGGAAAACAAGGCACTTCTAGCAAATTTGGCTTCCTCGGATTTCTTTGTCAACTAACTTCAGCTGAAATGGAAATGCAGAGATGTCAAATTCCAACTTCCACGGGCTTTTATTTATATAAAAGGCGTTCCAAAAAATAGGATTCTTTATGGTTTTTCCTTTTCTCTAAGGCAGTTGCTGTAGAGGTAAAATTATTTTGGACAATGGAGAAACCTAACAAAATAAAAGCAACAAATTATCATTCACCTAAAAAAAAAAAGGCAACACAATATCAAATTAACGACTTCCGTTTCCACGGTAAATAAATTGTCTGACTTTTTCTGATTTGATAACGGGCAGTAAACCTAACGAATTGAATACTTGCGGCTATTTGCAAGAAATGAGGTAAGAGCTGTATCAAGTTTTGAAAGATGTTTCAAATTATAGCTGTCTTGTTATTCTGATGATAACATTTCAAATGGTCCTGGGAAACATCAAACACTCACATTAATGTCATGGAAATAGAGCAAAATAGTATACAAGTAAAAAGGGGAGAGTATCCACTATCATGGGCAAATCTTCGTTACCAGGTATAGAGGGACAACAATAGGGTTGAGAACCTTCTTCGTGTCAGCTCTCTTGACAAACACAAAAAACTATAAATTACAGCAAAGATATGATGTTCTAACGGGGCAAGCATATGAATGAAGACCAAATGGTATAATTTAACTCCACAGTGTGAGAAAGAAAACCCAGAAAAGGTAAGATTTTGATGGCAGGTTACGCATGCTGTACAGTCAGACTCCATAGTATTCATTTTCTCCAGTACCTTTCCGATTAGAGTAATTTTGGCACAAGTAGGATTCTCTGGATCTATGTTGCCACACGTTCCAAGAGGGTACTCACTGACTGTAAATGAAGCTCTTTCATCCTTCAGAGCGTTTCTTGCTGTTGGGTCTAAAGTTGTCAAGTAAAAGTACGGGATGCCACTGCCTTTCTCAGGGAGTCCATCACTGAACGATACCACATTCCTGCAAATAGTTAATGCAATGTTACAACTATTTTTTGAAATAGATTATGGGAGAAAATTTAGAGTACTGTTACAATGGAGTAATGATAAATAGCTGGAGCTTTAACTTCTATTGCATGAGCTATAAGGTTAAAATGATTATTGCTATGGTACATTATAATAGTTCTTGTCCTTGAAATTAGTGAAAACAATTTTCACAGCATTTGATATTAATCAATGAAATTTAAAGCATGTGATATTAGTAAATGTGTACCTTCAGCGCAAGAATTCTTTAATTCAAAAGGCTGGTGATGTAGAATGAGAAATATTAAAATAAAAGCAACACATCCTTACCCAAAGGGCGCGCCACCCAGTTCGCTTGAGATGGTACTGCAGAGAAACAAAGGATATAAGACTGTAGCTTCTATGTTTGAGTTTCACAAGATAAATACATGAAAGAGATCAGATCATCACAGTACAGATTACAATAGCAGGAGTTACCAAGAGGATATGCCACTTCTTTGGTTTAACTATGAAACTGTTGAACGATTCTGAAGCATAATCGGAGCTTCATGAGTTTAGAATTTAGTATTCATTGTTAATAAAGAAAATTACATACTTAGCCCAATAAGTAACGCCATAATGATTGGAAATGCATACATAATCAATCAGTAAAATAATAAGCCACGAACTTTTAACTGAAAAAGTTGCGTTAAAATTCCATATTTGGACACCTCCTCCAGGAGGAACATCTCACAACAAGAAGCCGCCATTAACTTAACCAATATTTCCATCAGGGAGATGATCCATATAATAAAGGAAGTGAAAGAAGCAATGTGCCTCGAGGATTCAACTTTGGCTTTATAACGACGTCAGATGTGGGAGTTAAAATCGAAGTTGAGATAATTCACAATTAATCAACCTCTCCACCCCCTTCAATATCGATGAGAAGAACCATAACGCTGAAACACTCAATTCCGGCACTTAACATTGAAGAAATCGATGCACCGTTAATATGATAACAATTTGCTCATAAACCTAAATCTACCAAAATGACAATCAATCAGCATCACCTAACAAACAGTCAATCATCCTAAAAGTAACCGCTGTACAAACGGGAAATGAGCAACACGAAGTCATGAGATTGGATCAGGCACTTTGGGGGATGCGCGGGAACTTACTTTAAGACGCCCCAGGAATTCTGAGAGACCAGCCAACGAGCAGTGGCAGCAGCAGCATCCGGGTCGGGCTTCGTTGTGATCAAGAGTGATCGCCCATGGACGCCCATCAAAGAGGAGGCGAATTGGATGGCATAGAAGAGGGGCAGGACCCTGAGAAAGATTCCCATATTCTGCGTTGAAGTCAAGTGGGGAAGTCGAAGAACCCGGGAGACGATGACTTTGTTGGTAGACCCGGCAGTGCGTATTGATGTATCAAAATGAAGACAGACGAAGAGAAAGACAGGATGCCACGATATCTTGTAGGAGCCAAAATCTCGCAACTCGTCAGGGCGTACGCGATATATCCCCCAGGATCATCTGTTGTTCCATACGATGCGAACACCACAGATATTTTAACAGATATTCCAGATTTTTTTTAAAATTATAAATAACAACATATTTTTATAAAAAAAATTATTTATTTATGATTAAATAATTTCAAAATTCTTTTACGGGATCATACCTTTTTTGTTTTTTTTTTTTACGGGATCATACCTATTTTTATCTTAAACCATTCTGTTGAGTTACTGGTACAACATTTAAAAAATACCTATGTTTATAAAGAATTCGAAATGAGTGAATGTCTGAATGATCATATTTATGGATCATAAATAATTATATTGATAACTATATTTATATTATTATTTGCACTTACATTTTAATTATTTGGTTTTGATGCCTATAGTTTTTAATCAGAACTTTTAGTTTTTATAGTTTTACTAGAAGCTAATTTGAATTATATTGTTAGGTGTAAAGACTAAAACCACAACCTCTTAAAAAAACCTGCTAGTAAAAAAAAACTTATTAAAAAATCAAGAATAAAAAATAAAACTTATCTAATCTTTATACTTCTAATAAACTTTGATTTTCATTATATTTTTAAAGAATTTTAGTTTTAATCCATATATTACCTTCTATTCTAATTATAAATCTTATTTGTAAATTACAAACAAGATCTTATAATTATAATTAAGACAGGAAGTATTACTCAATAAAATTAGCTAAAAGTTAATGTTGATAAACTCCAACCAAATTACTGTGAGGAACCACAAGTCATGATGTAAAATTACAAGATTTAAAATTAAAATTAAAGTTCAATCAATCCGTGAGCAACCACCAATAAAAATATTAATCCTATATTAATACTGTTTTTATGTGGATATCATCACCCGTAAGGGGTCATGGGTCGAAAACAACACATAGAAGAAGGCCCATCAGAATATGAGGATTGGACCGAGAACTTCCCGACCCAACCCTGCCGGAGGCCAGAAGAAACAAAGTTACAAAGCAATATAGCTTCCCGACTACCCAGATAAAATACCACGGCCTGCCTTCAGGGCAGCAGTCTTTGACCCTTTCTCTTGCCAACCCGAATTCTTCTTCTTCTTGCCGGAACGTCGAGATCCCCATTTCTCCGGTTAAAATCATAAACTGAAGTAGAGTGTTTTTCACTTCACAATGGAGTTTCTCTCCTTCGCCGTCGCGGCTGGTGGATTCATCTTCATTGGGGCTCATGAAGCTTTTCACGCTTCTTCCCTCCATGCCCATGTTCCTCCTCCTCATCCCAATTCTCTTCACTCAACCACAGCTTCTTCTAAACCGAATTCTCAAATTAAGAAAACCTCCGCTCCCTCCTCCCTGTCTTTCCTCTTTGTCTCCGTCTTTTCCTTTTTCGTTATTGTAAATTCCTTGGTATCACTTATGGATGCTCAAATCTCCCGCGACCCTGTTGGATCAGCCCTTCAATTGCAAGTGTTAGCCGTTGCTTTGATTTTCCTATTGTACTCCGTCCTTGGTCTTATGGTTCATGCCTCGAATTCTTTTCATTTGCCTTCCTCGTTGCTCGGCTTGGTTGGGGTTTTTGCTTTTGTGGAAGAATTTTTGTTGTTTTACCTTCAGAGGAAAGACCCCAGTGGAGTAGAAAATCGTTATTATGATCTGTTGCTAGTGCCTATCGCCGTCTGTGTATTATCTACAACCTTTGAATTGCATTCCCCGATATCGAATCTGCCAAGACTGACTCGTGGGTTTGGATTGATTTTACAAGGAACGTGGTTTCTCCAAATGGGTTTGTCGTTTTTTACTAGTTGGATGGCTCATGGCTGCTCCTTGCGCAAAGTGAGCAGAGGGAATTACACTATATGGTGTAAGGGACACCCTGAATTTCACAGAGGTAGAGCAATCGCTACGCTTCAATTCAATTGCCATCTTGCCCTCATAGTGGTATTGTTTGTTGGGTTTTTCTCGACAGTCTCTTGGAAAAATGGAATTCCCGTGAATTCTACGCAATATAGGCCCATCGGAGCGGAAATGCAGTCTTTTCAGAATTCCGCTCATTTCACTTTGGATTCTGACGATGATGGCGACGGAGAGATTAAAGAAGACAATTCGGCGTTGCAGAAGTCAAGTGTGGTGGAATCGGGCATGAATGGTTTCAGCTCTCATCATTGAGATTGATCAATCTTATTAGATGTGGCGAATGAATTGATGAATCATACGATTCTAGTAGAACTGTCCTCCCTTTTGCTCTTGGCAGGATAATAAAATCACTTTGTATAAATGAATTTATATTATATATTTGTTCGTGTTATTAACTTCTAATTTTGCTTTTGAGTCTATGTGGCGTTATATCTGCAACTTCTGGAACTGAATGCTGATTTTTACCCTGTCCTTATAAGTTTGTATGACGTGATTCTGTGTAGTTAAAAATATAAGTTCTTTCTTGATGACTGTGTATTTCGAGTAGTGGTTAACACAATTAATCGTTCGCATATATAAGATCAGAGCCTTAAACTGGCCAATGGTTTGAAATCATTGGCATCATTTAAGATACTTAAGAATAGGATATAATAGTTATGAATTAATAATTATAGATGAAAATGAAACAACGCATAATTTCTGTGACTCAAGGACAGTGTTTGTGCCAGGTAAACGGTGTTATGTAACCTTAACAGCCAATTTGACTATCATGGCTTCCCTGGTCCGTTGAGATGGTATGGTATGATTTATTAGTTCCTCCAGTGGCCTCTGTTCAATCATATTCATTTTCTTGGTCTGATTCAAGAACCTCAGTTCTGCAACTGTTGGAATATCAGAAAGTTAGAAAAAATGTGCTCTGGTGGACATGAAAATCGATCTAAAACGCCTATTTTATTGACAATATAATGATATGGACTTTATTGAAGAGGTGCTTCAATTGCTATTCAAGATGGTAGTTCCTTCCACAAACTGATGCACCTGGACTAATGTATTGTTAGGGATTTTGAGAAGAAAGCTAGCCATGGTGATCCACAACCACAGAGCAGTGAAAACTGTGCAAGTCTCATTTGTTTGAATATGAACTAGTTGTGTTTTTCTGCAGGATGGGGAAGGCTGAAATTGGAACTTGTGATCAAATGCTAGCTGTACTTGTGTTGTTGTTGTTGGTGTTTTCTTTTTTCTTTTTCTTTTTTTTTTGGGTTGAGAATTTCGTCAGTGAAAATCATCAAGATTGCTGAATATTCTGACTCGAAGTCATTTGCTTGTGGCTATTTTGGATTGGCTTTGCTGGCATAACAGCACATTCGTGAATTATGTTGAGTAGAATTTCTTGAAGTTCAGGGTTCTTCTGCGCCTGTGAGGCTGTAACACTGAAGGAGTAATAAGTGGGTGGTGTGTGCGGTTTGTTTGAAAAGGGAAAAAGACTTGTCAGTCATACTAATCTCTTCCTGTTATTTGGTTTAAAAAAAATACTGATCTATTTTATGTGGCAAGTGTCTCATGAGCGACTTACCACTAACTCACTCAGATCAAAGAGAGGTTTATCAACATCGAATGAGTGTCCTTTTCAGTGCAAAAGAGAGGAGAGTATAATTCACATATTGAGAGATTGTCAAAAAGCACGAGAGTTGTGGTCTTTTATTTTAAATCCTAACCTTTATTCTTGTTTTTTCCCTGGAACTTTACAGGACTGGCTTAAGTGGAATAGCAAAAACTGCCCAGGACGAGGAGTCTACCGTAAACATAACTGGATTAAAGTGTTTAGTCTTGGTTGTTGGACTCTTTGGACCTCCAGATGTAAATTAGTTTTTGAAGGCAAAACGGATACCCCAAGAGAACTTGGGTACAGGGTCCAACATTTACTCATGGAGCAGATAGTGGGAGACCAACTCAAACATCAGATCTTTCAGTTTGCAGGTAACCAAGAAATATCCTGGACACCTCCACCACAGGGAGCTATCCGCATCGATGTTGATGGTTCAGTCTGGAATGATCAACACGCAGCCTGTGGAGGCCTCACCAGAAACAGCGATGGTGATTGGGTGGTCGGATTCCAAAAGAATATTGGCACTTGCTCAGTTACAGAAGCAGAACTGGTGGCTATTCGGACAGGTCTTGAAGTTGGGAAATTATATAATCATCCCATGGTTGTGCTCTATTCTGACTCAATGGATGCCCTCAATTTGATTGCTAGAGAGTGTATGGCACATATGGAGGAAAAATAAAAAAAATAAAAAATAAAAAAAATAAAAAAAAATACTGAGGAAAAAGAGCTCACACGTAGGTTGGTCTTCGGTTTACGAAGGATGGAATGCTCTCTTCCGCTCAAGCTTGACGCAAAAGAAAACTCGCCGCCCCACCCTGACGATAATCGCGTTACTAAGAAGGTGAAGATACGGTCGCACTCTCATGATCCTCAGCATGAAGACATGGTCACCGATGACCTACTCCCAGCGCAGGGGGAGGAAGTTGGGATGGAAGAAGAAGATGAACTGCAGCAGAGTACTGAAGCTCCGCCCCTTACAGCAGAGACGAACACCGCCACACAGCAAAGAGTCCCGGCGTCGTTCCAAGATACACTCCTTAACAACGCTAGGTCCCAAAGAGAGGAGGAAGATCTGCAGCTTACCGACGGGGATGTTCTGGTTAGCAGGGAAGGCATCTTTCCAGCTATCACCTTCTCCCCAAGAATACACCAGGCCCTTGAGGAGAGTATGAAGTTCTCGGTGGTTCTCAAGCTTCTTGGTCGACCCATTGGTTACCAAAAATTACGGGACCACCTTACGCGCCTCAGAAACTTCCCTCGCCTCTTCAAACTCACAGATTTAGAAGGAGGCTGTTTTATCGCAACGTTTACCAATGACGCTGACTTCCAAACTGTGCTCACAGAAGGGCCATGGGTCATTACCAGCCACTACCTAACAGTTCATCCATGGACACCTGATTTCTCACCGGTGCAGCATTCGGTCTCCCAAGTAGTTGCCTGGATACGCATTCCTGGGCTTCCCACAAAGTACTACAAGAAGAACATCATCAGAGCTATTGGCAAAGTCCTAGGCAGGGTGATTCGCATTGATTACAACACCGCCTCTGGGGAACGCGGGAAGTTCGCACGAATGGCTATCATCCTAGACCTCTCCAATCCCCTTACTTCTAAGATCCTCGTTGACGGGAAAGCACTACTTATTGAATATGAAGGCCTCCCGATGATCTGTTACCATTGCGGACGGTATGGGCATCTAGTTGAAGCATGTCCCTTGAAGAACCCAGAGACAGCGGCGACAAACCCTTCACAGCCTGCCGCCGATCAACCCGTCATCCCAGCGAGCACAAGCACTAACCCCAATGATGTGAATGATACCAACCCCTATGGCGCGTGGATGATTGCACCTTCCTCAAGGAGACGTTTCTTCAGAGATATGAAAAAGTCGTCTGAACCAAGTACCCTAAAACAAGCTACCATAGGATCAAGATTTGACCTGCTCAGAACCTATAAAGCACTTCCCGAAAACCACCCAGAAACCCAGAGCCAAGACAGGAAGAATACCAACTCAGCCACTCTACCTTCTGACTCAATACCGCCAAAAGAGCCATCCCACCCGTCCAAAACCATGAAACCTATGAAAGAGGCAAATAAAAAGCCGCTTCAACAGACAAAACCCCAGAAAAAGACCAATCCCGGGCCATCTAATGACTCCATCTTTGCCAGCAAAGCCTATATAGATTCCCCCTCGACAACCACATCAGAAAATACTAGACACTCTACCGTCATCCTGCCGCACCCCAAGTCAACCCCCAAAGCACCTAGTAGCCCCACACCCCGAGCCCAATCCCAGCCCATTACCAAACCACCCCAACCTTCAGATAACAATAAAGAAAACCTAAGCCCAAAACCCCCTGACCGCCCATCCCCATCCAGCGGAGTCAAACTCCATACGGGACTTCAAATTGGGTCCCATAGACCCAAATTAAAAGAAACCCCACCTGTTTTGGCCGATAAAGCTCTCAAGACTATTACTAAAGCTCTGGACAGCCAATATCCTGAGCATGATTCGGATCTCTCAGATGACACACTAGATGAAGATGAGGAATGCAGTCGCTCCGAGATGGAGCACTAATCACCGACGTTGTTTCTAATGTCAGCTCTAATTTGGAATTGTCAAGGTGCAGCAAAGAGTAGTTTCTACTCGGTGCTTAAATCCTTCATTAAAGAGCATAAGCCTTATCTGCTGGTCTTAGTTGAACCGCGAATCTCTGGGGAAGTTGCTTCTAGAGCAATAAAAAGAATTGGTCTCCCAAATTCTCACCGAGTCGAAGCCTCCGGATTCTCTGGTGGTATTTGGGTCCTCTGGACTGATCAAATTCAAGTTGACATCCTCCTAAGTCACTGGCAATTTATTCATACTCGGGTACACCTCCCTCATACAAGTCGCTCATTCCTCTTTACTGCAGTCTATGCCAGCCCTATGAATTCTGTACGGATACAACTATGGAGTGAGCTCTCTAACCTTGCACGCTCAATCTTCGAACCATGGGCGATTGCGGGGGATTTCAACTCTGTCCTTTATTCTTCCGAGAGGAGAACAAGTACGGGGCGGAGGCGAGAAGGCTGCCCCCATTTTCTGCAATTTGTTAATGATTGCACGCTCTTGGATTTGGGTTTTTCTGGCCCTCGGTTCACTTGGAGAAGGGGCCTCTCATTTGCTCGACTTGATAGAGTCCTTGTTAACCACCATTGGTTTGATTCTTACTCCAACACCTTAGTTTATCACCTCCCTAAAATCCAATCCGATCACAGACCCCTGAAATTGTCCTCGGGCCTCAATACTATTGCTCCTAAACAAACCCAACAATTTCGATTCCTTGCTCCCTGGCTTACCCACCCTCAATTCTCGCAACTAGTCCGTAATAATTGGTCCACGGATAGGTCATTACACCAGAACATCGAAGCCTTCTCCAGGGTAGCAGCCAGGTGGAACAGAGAAGAGTTTGGAGCCATTGGCACCAAAAAAAGAATCCTAGCTGCTCGTATCTCAGGTGTCCAGAAGAAACTCGAAGAGAGTCCTCTTTCTCATCAATTGCAGAAGCTCAACCGAGACTTATGCCAGGAATATGAGTCCATTTGCCTCCAAGAAGAATTACTTTGGATTCAAAAATCCAGATCAGATTGTATCAACTTGGGCGACCGCAATACTGCATATTACCACAGAAAAGCAAAGATTCGGAGGTCACGAAATCGAATCACCGCACTTAAAGATGGTGATGGCAATTGGACCTATGATGAGGAGTCACTTGCAAAAATGGTGAAGGAATTCTATGTTAATCTCTATACGGCTCCTGAGACTGAACCAGCGGTATTCCGTCATCGAGGTATGTTTCCTCCCCTCTCTAACTCTTCCTGGGATATATTAAATGCTTAAGTTACCTTAGAAGAGATTAGACAAGCCTTGTTTGGTATGAAACCTTTGAAGGCCCTTGGTCCTGATGGCTTACACGCCCTCTTTTATCAAAGTCAATGGTCCACGGTTAGTCCTTCCCTCTTCCAAATGATCACCTCCCTCTTTAACGGCTCACCTTTTGACACCAATCTAAATAGCACCCTAATCTCTCTCATTCCCAAAACTGATCACCCTGTTTCCGTGAAGGACTTTCGTCCCATAAGCCTTTGCTCGGTAGCCTACAAGCTAGTCACCAAAATCATTGCTAATAGACTAAAGCCTCTTATGCCTGACCTTATCCTGCCTGCTCAGTCAAGTTTCATACAGGGAAGAAATATCACCGACAACATTATTATTGCACAAGAAGTCATTCATTCAATGAGAAAGAAGCAAGGGAAGAGCGGTTGGCTTGCAATCAAAGTTGAGCTGGAGAAAGCCTTTGATAAGCTTAGCTGGACTTTTATCGCTGACACTCTTAAGGATGCTGGTTTTCCTGCCAGAATTGTCTCAATTATCATGAACTGCATAACTACTCCTACTTTGAGAGTACTCTGGAATGGCAAACCGTCCCAAGAATTTAATATATCCAGAGGTATTAGACAGGGAGACCCACTCTCCCCCTACCTATTCGTCTTGTGCATGGAAAGACTATCTCAGGCTATCACCAAAGCGGTGGAAGAGAAATCATGGGAAACAATTAAACTAGGCAGGAGAGGGCCCCCTCTATCTCACCTCTTCTTTGCTGATGACCTCATCCTATTCAGCGGCACCTCCTCTACCCAAATCGAAAAAATCAAGCAGACACTTGATGAGTTTTGTGCTGCCTCAGGACAAGCAGTGAGCTTAAGTAAAACCAGGATTCATTTCTCCAAGAATGTAAACCGAAGAGACCAGGATCGTATATGTGATTTCCTGCAATTCCAGAAAACAGAAAACCTTGGGAAATACTTAGGAGTACCTCTCTTACATTCCAGAGTCACCAAGGACACTTATGGATGCATTGTTGAAAAGGTCCAGCAACGGCTAAGCCATTGGAAAGCAAAAACCCTCTCACTTGCAGGTCAGATTACCCTTGCAAAAAGTGTGCTGAGTTCCATCCCTTACTACACCATGCAAACAGCGCTCCTTCCCTCGCACCGTTGCCACACTATTGAGAGACTAATCCGTAACTTTATTTGGGGATCGACCAGCGACTCAAGGAAACCAAGCCTAATTAGTTGGAAAGAGATTTGCCAACCACTCAAACATGGAGGTGGCGGACTCAAAGACCTCCAAGGACAAAACCATGCTTTTTTATCAAAGCTAGCTTTTAAGCTTGTCAGTCAGCCGAACCAATTTTGGGTACGAGTGCTAAGGGCTAAGTATAATTGGGGAGGAAATTGCAATTACACATTCAAGCCGAAGAATGCCTCCCACTTATGGCGCTGTATTGCCAAAGTCTGGCCGAACACTAACGTCAATATGCTATGGGAAATTGGAGATGGGAAGTCCATAAGATTTTGGGAGGACAACTGGGTCAATGATATTGGGCCTCTAAAACTCTTGGCTTTCTCTGATATAGGTGAACAGGAATGGAGCAAGCCCTTATGCGACTATGTTGACAGCTTGGGCCATTGGAATTGGAGCCTTTTTCAGGACCACTTACCTTCAGGCATCAACCTCCAGATTGCTGCCACAAGCCCACCCCATTCACCACGACAACCTGATGCTTGTAGATGGAGACTAACGAGTAATGGTGCTTTCACGGTAGCATCCGCCTACTATGATGACAGAGTCCTCACATGGGCTAATGAAGCATCTTACTGGACGAGAGTGTGGAAATGGCCAGGAATTCAACGAACCAAGACCTTCCTTTGGTTGGCACTAAAAGATAGACTCCTGTCAAATGCTGAACGAGTACGGAGAGGCATGGCAACTTCAGGCAGGTGCGATCTTTGCCATGCAGAGTTGGAGGATCTCAACCACATTCTCCGCCATTGCCCTGTTGCCTACCATAGTTGGCTAAAAGTGCTCCCTCCCCAAAGAGTGCCCCTGTTCTTTAGTAAACCTCTTAAAGACTGGATACTTTGGAATCTCAGCCCTCACTGTATGGACACTCACTGGAGACTCTTTTTTGGAACACTTTGTTGGAAGCTTTGGAATAATAGGAACAAGTGTATTTTTCTTAATGACCCTCTCACCGTCAAAAATATTATTTCTTCTGTTTGTACTATTGTTACGCACACCATGAACGCTAGGGATCTCCTTAGAACTGTTGACCCAGCGATTTAGATGGTGGCTCTGTAACTCCCTGTACATACTTGTTTAATGCATTCCCTTTCACTCAAAAAAAAAAAAAAATACTGATCTCTTCTACTAAGAAGATGTTAGTTGAGATAGTAAGTAGTTTTATTTTCATAAAGAATAAAACACGATTCTGAATATCAAAAACCGTACTTGTTAGAATAAACCAAAACCTTGTGTATTGTAAGCCTCAAAAGAAAAATCCTCGATTAAATAGTAAAAAATACTGATCTCTTCCTATTGCCTAGCAGTTGATCACATGTTAAGGGTTAACCTTTGAACAAAATGAATTGTTGATGAAATTTTGAGTCTTGACGCGAGCGAGTCGAATGTAAATTCAATGCATGGTGGTTCCAAACAGCGAGGCTTGGAGAATATCAGAAGAATGGCGGGTGAGGATTTAGACTTCAGAGTTAGTTCTCTTCATTTCTTCCTTTTCCAATTGTAGTTCCAAAAAAATCTATATTAAATTTTAACAGGACAAGTTAATTTATATTTTTTAAATAAAATGCGAAATTTATTCAAAACCAAATAAAAAGATTATATGAGCAAAGCCCAAATGAAATGAAAAAAAGAGTCAGCCTAACATGAGTGAAATAAAAAAGTAAAACAAGTTAGTAAAAAAAAAAAATAAAAAAAAACGATAATAGAAAAGAGACAAAGAACACCACAGAAATTAAAGCAGATCCAAAGCTCATCGTTGTCCTCAATTCTTACTATTAGGTCTGAGACAGCCCAAAGCTGGAACCAAATTTTTATTTTCATTTTGTTAATTTAAAAACCTGTGATTAAATTTTTATTGTATTGTATCCTTATTATAAAAGCTAAAGTACATCTTTAATCTTTTAATTTCATATAAGGTTTTATTTTGATCCTTTAACTTTAAAAAATAAACTTTTAGTCATCTTACTCCATAACTGTTAACAAAAAATGATGATATTAAGCTTTTGAATATTGATAAAACATTACTCCCTCCGTTTCTTATTATAAGAGACATTTGATGCTTATGGCATGTTCCTATATATAAGAGACACTTAAAAGTTGTCTCTACCTTTTTGTGTTGATTTTCTATTTTACCCATATTTATTTTGTTTCCAATTCACACTCTCTCTCCCTCTCACTTCTCTTTCTTTTAATAATTTAATTGTTCTCTCTCCTTATTAATGAGGGTATTTTTGGGAAAAAAATTATACTTTTTACACATTGATTGTTCTTAACTAATTTTAACTGCTTTTTTGATCAACGTAATTCGGTTATTCGTCTCTTATAATAAGAAACGGAGGGAGTACTAAACATTAACATGTTAAGTTTAATATTCAAAACAATCATTATTGTTATAAAAAATCATTATTTAAGAATAAAAATTTTGAGGTTAAAGGATTAAAAGTATATTTTTTAAAGTTAAGAGACTAAAATAAAACCTTATATAAAGTTAAAGGACTATGTGAATATTTTAACCTATCATAAAATTATAAGATGTCTTAAACATCACTACATGTGGATCCAGCTGGCGAGCCAGCTACAGTAATGGACTGTAGCCAGCTGGATCCAAGTGGTACGCCTCACTATTAAACAAATGGGCCTCCGTGGACGCTATATTCGCATTTCCCCTCAAAACCCATTACTGTAGCAGCTTGGCCGAAAAAAGGTAGGACTATAACCAGCTGGATCCAAGTGGTGTGCCTCATGCTTAAATTAATTTTGGTACAAGCCCTGATTTGAAGCCAGCTGGCAAAAGAAAAGCAGGCCTGTAGCCAGCTGGATCCTATCCTGATGATCAAATTAATGGGCCTTAGGTTCTGTTTGGATGACATAGCAAACCATGGTTTGGAAGGCTAAACCGTGATTTGCACAAAACGCCATCCAAACAGGCAGTTAATGGGCCTCCACTGACGCTCTATTTATCTTTACGCCAAAGCCCAGTAAACCAAACAACGCCACAATGGTTCGTCACTGCGGCCTCCTCTTTCACTTCGCTTCCCGCCGAGTTCGCTCTACCAGGCTCGCTCCTGGGTAACGCCACTGGTCCCTGCTCGAGTTGTCTTTTTTCAGCTCTTCACTCTCACTCTAAAAGAAAAAATTGCATCGATAGCGTCTTTCCTTCCTCAACTATTGGCGGCGGTAGTGTGCATCCATAATGCGGAGGCAAAATCCAATTAGCGTAAACTTCCTCACATGCATTCCTTCTACTTTTTCTGTCTTCCTTGCCATGTAATGAATGATTGGAAATTCTAAGATGATGCTCAACCGCAATGAACATGTAATTTTGCAGGAACTTCCAGATTCAGATCAAAGCATTTCCGGTAATTCCTTTCAAAGAAGGTTCTCCTTTTATACAACAAACGTTGTGGCTAATCACCTGTTTCTTGTTTAATTTGGAAGAGGAGGAAGATTCAAACGACGGTTTCCTGGAGCCTGCCGTTTCTTTGGATCCTTCTGCCAATAACCAGGTTCATTATGCACGTGTCTACCCAATTATTCATGGTTTTTTTAAAAATCTTTTTGGGCCAACCCAATTATTCATGTTTAATTGCATTATTCTATCTTTTTTTTTTTAAGCTGAATTGCACTATTCTATCTGATTAGGCGGTTTTGCTTTCTTTTTTTTTTTTTTGAAAGATTGTTATTTTTATTTTGCCATATGTTTGATCTAACCATCATCATTAGTAATCTTCTAATAGCCCTTTCATTTTTTTTAT